TGAACAGAGTCTGGCCCCGTCCTCCTGACCCCCACCCTGCAGATATTTAGAGGCATTTCTAAGGTCCCCTCACAGCCTTCTCTTCTCCAGGCTGAACAAGCCCAGCTCCCTCAGCCTTTCCTCGTAGGAGAGATGCTCCAGTCCCCTCCTCATCCTCGTAGCCCTGTACTGGACTCTCTCCAGCAGCTCCTCATCTTTCTTGAACTGGGGAGCCCAGAACTGGACACAGCGCTGCAGATGGGGCCTCACCAGGGCAGAGCAGAGGGGGAGGAGAACCTCCCTCGACCTGCTGCTCACACTCCTCTTGATGCACCCCAGGATGCCATTGGCCTTCTTGGCACCCAGGGCACACTGCTGGCTCATGGTCAACCTGTCATCCACCAGGACACCCACGTCCCTCTCTGCAGAGCTGCTCTCCAGCAGGTCAGCCCCAGCCTGTGCTGGTGCATGGGGTTGTTCCTTCCCAGGTGGGGAGGAACATTATAATAATGTAAAAATAGTCTTGAATTATGGTAGAGCTTTTTTAAAGTGTGACATAACAGTTCATGATGAAATGGCTGTCTTCTGAATTGCCGTATCTGTAACTTTGATTTTTGCAAAAATTCATGTTGGCTGAAATTTCTGTAGTTTATCTCAGCCTAGATATGGATGAAATGAAAATATTTTTCAGCTGATCTTATTTTGTTTGAACATAGAGAAGAATTTTTTTTTCCTTTGAGATTTTCTACCTTGCTACTTCTACATCTGACAGCCAAAACACATTTTGTTTGAAATACTCAAATTTTGCACAGCCTCAGTGGCAGTGTATTTCAGATCTCGTAGGCATTTGCTCTCAGAAATAACTATTGTAGAGAAGTTTTAGTGTCAGACAGGTCATGTGCTTCAGACGAGCTTCTTTCATGTTCTAATTATCGTCTGTAGTTCCCTGGAGTTGTTTTCATTAAGGTGCATAATAGAGCAGGGCCTGAGTGCCTGGCACCCGGTGCTCGTCTGTGGACAGTGAGGGTGGGTGGGCGACGCTTGCGTGTTGGGAACACGATGGTGCTTTGCTCCACCAACAGCCTCAATTCGATGCCCGAGCTGCCGGTGAGGGTAAGCTACACCTGCAAATGTGAGATCGGTTCCTCTTCTGAATACGTGGTGGTACTGTACGTGGATCCCACGCAGGAGCGTGGGCTTCTGATTCGAGCACAAAACCAGTTTCTGTACAAACACGAGGGGGCTTGGTTGGGCCTTTGACTTCGAATATCCTGACTTCTGTTCTTTCAGCTAGTGGGAGAGGTGGAGACAACCACCACGTTCATCCCAGAGCACCGTGAAATCTCCTTCAGATTTAGGAAACCCAAACACTGCGAGAAGTCATGCAAACCTGTTTCAACCCGTGCCCAGAATAAATACTCTGAGGGCAAAAATCCGTCGGTGCTTTGATTCAGCCAATTTCATGGACGTTCAATTAATGCAACAGCATGCAGGAACTGATGATTTTGCTAATATTATCTTCTAGCTTGTTGGATTACACCCAGCTCATACATACAGCCCTGACAGCATGAAATCCCTGCTGCAAACGGTCGTCTCGTTTCGGATGCCTTGGGGTGCACTCGTCAGTCTGTTGCTGCGTGCTGGCGTTAGGCGTGAACGCCATGGATGCCCGCACTGTGCTCCGAGACGTACTTCAGGCCAGTGAATCAAGCAGTGCTCCCCACTGTTCAGACGACACATATTTAAGCTGAACTGATGCAAACTTAGTTAAACTGTAACTAGAAAAAAATTAGCAGAATTATTCTACTTGATCAGAAACCTGTCCCAGATTTACAGCACTGATTAAAGGTATGGAACCACCTGCCAGTCGCATCTCTTAAATAGGGAACTTCATCATCTGGTGAAACTCGAATTGTGTGTTTGCAGTTAAGACCATTTTTGTATTTAAATTTCTTTTTCATCGTGGCTTAAATACTAGAATACAGTCTAATTCCAATCACATTTTGTATTAGTTGTCATCTGCACATTCATATGAAAAGAAAAGTAGGTCCCACTTCACACACACCTGTATCTTTTCGTCAAGTACATCTCGGTGTCAGAAAGCATTTCAGAAAGTGCATTCATCAGTCTCGAGCGTCCATGTCGGTTTTGCAGCGATGCAGGTAGGCAGGCGTGTGCTTTGACTCACCGCCGATCGGCCCCCTTTCTTCATGGCACGTAGGGGATGCCTTGCTGGGCAATTCCTTTGGTAGCGTGGGTGACCTGGTATTTGTATGAAAGCTATTTCTATAAAAATGGCAAGTTCAAAAGCCTTATGAAAAATTATAAAGCAGAACTCTAGATAAAGCCATGAGTGAACAATCTTTCATAATTCAGGAGTACATTGACTTTTCTGCACATAAAATTTGAGTGGCAATAGTGAACTGCAATTTCTGTAACAGCAGAAACAAAAAACAGGGTGCCCAGTGGAATGGGCCCTTAAGCGATGACAAACTATTGCGTTAGTCAAGGGCAATTGATATTATTTGCATAAGTGTAAAATCAAAAGTATATAGAATTGCCAGGAGAGGAAGTCAGGAAAATTAGACTACTGATAAAAGGACCATCGAATAAAAGGAGAGCTGGAATCCAGCGTGCAAGATCTTTGTTTTTCGAAGATCTGTTCTTTGTATCAGGTCTTGGGGTTTTTCAGACCACGCAGCTCCAGATGCACAACATCTCTTTTCAGCCCCGAGGGCAGATTCAGGCCCTGTGTCAGACACTGGAGCACCTGCCCGGAATTTTTCAGCAGAACTCTTTGCGTACTGCGTCTGCAGACATGCGTGGGGGTTTGTGCCTTTGCCAGCAGACAGCCAACAAATTTGCATTTGATCTGAGGTATGGTACTGAAAGATACCATAGGGAAAGGGGAGGGGGTGGCCAGGAACATGCTGAAAACATTTCTGGAAACAAGTCTTCAAGCTTGTGTTTTCTGGTGTCAGGACATACATCGTTCCTTTGAATGCATGTCAAAAGTTCAAAGCCCCGTGTAACCCTTTGAAAATGTAGGACGCTAGCAACCATGGCAAAGAAAATCATGAAATGAGTGTGTGTGGCGAGATGTTGGCACACTGAAATAAGTTAATGGTTTGGGATTATTACAGCACTCCTGTCATTTCACTCCTGTGACAACACCACCCACCTCCTGAAAAATTCAGCGTCCTGGCTGAGATGGATTTCACTTAAACGCCAGTAAGACCGTCAGAAAGCCGCTTACACAGGG